CATCGGCCGGGAATCGAACCCGGGCCGCCCGCGTGGCAGGCGAGCATTCTACCACTGAACCACCGATGCCACACCGCTGCAACACAGGCAGTATGACATCAACCCGTATCATTATCAAAATAACTTACTACAATAATGTCAGGTTCGTATTTGTGAATTTTTGCAAGGAAAAGCGATAGGAGAGCTTTTTCGTTCCCGGCGGTCAGGACAATATCGGCTAGGCCTCGCCTGTTCAGTTGATCTTTTATGTCGAAGGGCAGCGTGCCGCCACAAGGTTTGGTGAACACTGAAAAGGATGATAAATATGGTCTTTATACACATTTCTCAAAAATACTTTTGCCAGGATTTAATGAATCAATTTATCTCACTGCATAATCGATGAAGATCCTTTTGATCAGTGCTAGGATTGCTAAGGCTACAAGCAGGATTATATAGTGTTGATATCATACAGATCTGCAAGAGCCTCAATTAACTTTGTCTCAAAATTAACAGTTAAATGACCACTCAAAGCAAGATCCTTTACAAGTCAATTTGACGTGCAGTTTACCTCATTTTCCTTCTTTTCATTCAATGTTGTTAGAACATTCAGTACAAGCATGCGTACGGGTGGCGGATTTTGAGTTATTGATGTGTTGTAAGTAAGGTTTCGCATCCTCTCCATATCTACACTGAACTCATAGTCGCAGTAAGACTGTTTCGCAGTAACTTCAGCTAAAACAAGCATATTTTTAGATCCGAGAGTCAAAATTCCAATTTTTTTCTACAATCACTACTTACTGTAGTTGCTGATGTCAATCCAGCCAGGGCCCATCATCGCCTTTTCAACTAACAGTCGTTCCATTGCAGTAGTTGTAGTGTTGAAGACAGCTGAGAAAGTTTCTCCAGACAAATCAGTAGGTACTTTGGGATAACTACTCTAAAGCGCTGCCACTTATAATAAATATTTAAAATATATCAAAGCCATAATAATATCTTTCATTAAGAGAAATGACAAAAGTTACTTTCAAGAGTTTTCTTGAAATAAATGAATCATTAGAAACTGCTTTGTAAAAAAAAACTATACTTT